GGGGGGGGAGGGGGTGGCGGGGGGGCTGAGTCCTCCTCTTTTGCTCTTCCCGCCTTTCCGAACGTCTGCCGTCCGAGTTCTTGGAATCTTTCCCGGACGAGTTGAAAGCCGTACCTGTATCATAAAATCCCTTCCTGGCGGTTTTTTTCTTCTGTTTTTGAATAACTGGCTCCGAATTGCCGACGGTTTCTCCGTCGCGTAATCCCAGTTAATCCTGATAAAAAAAAATGAGACTCGTCTTGAGATGGAGTCCAGGGGGACACAACGAATGATCGTATTTTTAAGTGGAATATTAACGATGCGCGAAATCCTCCTCGCTTGATAATTTGGAATTCCACCAACTTTTATTAATTTGCTGCGCTGACACAGGGAGACGTCGCTGTGGGATGTTCAAACCCCCTTAAGTTCGGTCTAGCTGAAAAACTAGATTTGGGATTTTCTCAGAACATACTTTGGTTTTTGAAGAAGTACATATAAACATACATTTAAGACACACAGTTGGACTGCATTTTGCAAAAAGGAACTAAGAGCATACCAATGTTGCTAGGATTGTGCAATTTACATTCTTCGCAATAAGTTTACTGAAATCATGCAAAAAATTAAATTTACAAAGGTAATTTTCCTCTTGAATTTATAGTTTACAGATAGTCAAGATAAAACTTGTTTAGATCAGTTTATAATTGCAATGTAAAAAAAGTTGCACAATCTTAGCGACATTGGAGTGCCCTTGGTTCCTTTTTGCAAAATGCAATCCAGCCGCATGTTGATGGAGCATTGAGAAATTAGTCCCCCCTCAGCATTTCCCTTCTCACCGAAGAAGGGAAAAAATGAATGAAGGGGATCATTTAAATGTAGGTATGTGATGTGGGTATAACATTTGGTCTCTACGTGCGCGAGTTGCATCCTGTAGGACGAATTCATTCACTGGACAGTTAAAAAACCTAAGAAATGTTTGAGCTCCGTGGAGCTCTTGAGTGGCTGTCACCGTAAAGGGTATCATTTTACTGAATAATAGTAGGTAAGTAAGTGCAATTTCAGATGCGTTTTTGATGAAGAGTGCGACGGCGCATAAGAATCGCCTTCAGTGGGAAACGATACTTCCTAGCGTGGTCGTTGAGGCTGTATAGTTGCATCATTTGAAAACCTATTATCAACGCAGTGTAACAGCACGAAGATTAGCGAATTAATGTGAACCGGTTCAGACGATTTTCAGTGTAGAGTGACGATGCATAAGAATCGCCTTCATTGGAAAACGATACTTCCTAGCGTGGTCGTTGAGGCCGAATAGTTGCATCATTTGAAAACCCAATCAACAGTGTAGCAGCACGAAGATAGCGAGTAAATGCGCTCGCTTCAGAGTGCAGCTCTCTTGCTGAATAATGCTGACATTATGTTTTTTTGTCTGAACTGATGAATGGTGGCCATTTTGATCAAAGAAGAATGTCGCATGATGATCACTAATCATCAAATGCTAAATTTTCATCGGAATCGGTTCAAGATTTGATCTCCTATCGAGGCCTGTGGAGACGAAGCTGGAGGAACACGAACACTGCAAAGGTCGTCCTCCTCCTCACTGAAGAACGTATACCTACATTTCAGTGTTGCCTAACTGCACCTAGCTATTTGAGTTTTTACCAGGAGAATCTCGGGAATTCCTGGCTGAAAATTTCACCGATTCTTCTTTGATTTCATGCAAAAATCACAAACGTTTTGGACAAAAATTGCACATTGCACCAGGGCAGGATTTACCTACTTGCCGCCGATGGGCCGCCTGTATTTTGCCGCCCCCCTTCTCATTCGTTTTGAAACATCAATAAAAACCATCAAGTGAACGTGCCAGCGGGGAAAGGATGCAGAAGACGCGTTTACTTGTGTTGGACACATTTTTTTGGGAGAGTCCTGTCAACACTACTAGCAAAAGTTCACGGAACTTTGCGCGAAAATTAAGTTCCGTAAACCTATCTCTGTGTGGACAGGGTCTTCCAATCATAAGAAACGAACGAAAAAATTATGAAAGAACAAACATAAATGTAGTTTAATGATTTTAACTTCCGCCGCCGCGCCGCGCAGACCGCACCGTGTTTGGCGCAATGCGTGAAGTGTTCCGACACTCTTGTAGGCGCTAAGCGTTTCACGCAGACCGCACTGTCTTCGGCGCAATGCGTGAAGTATTCATGCATTCTTGTAGGCGCTATCTGTTTCACGCTGACTGCAGTGACCGCACTGCGTTTGATGCAATGCGTGAAGTATTCGTGCAGTCTTGTAGGCGCTAATATGTGTTACATGCCGATCGCCGCGCCGAGGGCTTCTCCTTTTCATCTCAAGTCCTCGTCATCATTTCTCTTTTAGTCGCGCCGTTCCAGGCCAAATTGCGTGTTTGGTTTCTCTCTTAACTCGACTAATTAAAGGTGCTGTTTCTTGTATCACTGAAAGACGACAAAATTAGAAATTACTATACTCTCAGGAAATGAGAGATTTTGTAGTCTTTTCTCGTTTGTAATTTTTCTTCTAAATCCGATTTTTTTTATACCCACATTTAAGAAAATTGCAAAATGTGCCGCCCCGTAGATTTGCTAACATGGGCCGCGGCCCATGTGGCCATCCCTTTAATCGGAATGGAGTTACGTTCCTTCGTAGGGGAAACGACGCGTTGTGCTGAATTTGTCAGGGTCGTAATAGTTAGTGAATACTGGGAAAAACGGGAAATGTCAGGGAATTTTAAAAAGTCAGGGAGCACCTAAAATTGTCAGGGAAAATGACGAAAATGTCTGGGAAAAATTGTCATGTCACCTTTATTTGCTTTCTAGATTAGATTTGACGTTTCAAACAATAGATTTTGAGTGATAACTATTCGAAATTATGTCTTTTTAACCATCTAGTGCATTTTCAATTTTCATGGAATTTGACCAAAATGTGATAGGGAAACCAGGGGAAATATCGGGGAATTTCGTTTTTTCACTTCTGTGGCAACCCCGATTTGTTTATTCGCTTGGATTTTCAATGAAACGCGGCGAGGGTGAGGATCGAAGGGACGTTCGGCGCGGCACGAGTCGAAGCTTTACGTCGGAGGAGACCCGACCACGGTCTAACGGGCGAAGCTCCGGGGTCGGGTAGCGGCGGGGGGCGGGGGCAAGGGGGCCGAGGAGGGGCAATCGTGAGTGTGTGCGGGCGAGGAGTAAAAGTGCCGGGCCCGGGCGGGTCGCGGCGCGCAGACTCGTTGTCGTCCGCGGCGGCGGCGGTGCCGTTCGGGGCGGGGAGGCGCGCCGTCGGCCGGGGTCGCCGAGTGCCGGGCGGCAGCCCCGCGCCCCGCCGAGGAGAGTCGAAACTGCGAGCACGCCGATTGAGATGCAGATACCAGTCGGCCGCCGCCGCTGCCGCGACTCACGCTCCGAGACCACGACCGGCCACGAGTTCTACCTCCAGACCCCGACGCTTCCAGTTCCGATAGACCCCGCGCCTACCGAGGCAGTCCCCGGGCACGTACCTCCTATCCCGGCGCCGTCGCCACGCTCCCAGTGTCGGTGGTGAGAAGTGAGCTAACGAATCGCTAACAGTAACAGTGCTAAAAGCTTTGTCGGCAGTAGGCGTCAAGGAGTTTCCCGACGCAACCCAACCGGTTTCTCGTAAGTTGGAGCTTCTGGTTGTCCCGAACCGCGGACCGAAGTACCCATTTTAACGCAGGCGGAAGGCCTGCCTCCACGGGACGTTTAATGGGATTCGTCCCAGGGGAAAAAACTTCACTTGCAGAGTTGGGGAAAATATTGAGTTAGTCAATACTAATCATAGTGCTAACTACGAGTCATTGTAGAGTCCCAGGAACGACTTAACAAGAAGAAGATATTTTGTTGTGTTGTTAAACGGGAAAAGAGCCCAGAGGTTTCATTCCTGCGATTCGAACTTGGGAAAAATCTCGTGAAACGTCCCGTGGAGACGAGGTGTTCGAGGTGGAGATTCTTTCGTAGCAGTGCTGTAAGGTTGAATGGCAGTAGGAGTTTCCCGTCGCAACCCACATCTGTTTTTTGTGAGTCAGAGTATCGAGACTTAGTACTCGCGAAGAAACATTCTTCGCCTAGATGGAGACGAACCATAGGTGCTCCCTATATGTAGCAGTGCTGTAAGGTTGAACAGCAGTATGAAATCCACAACCGGTTTCGTGTGAGTCAGAGTCTCTAGTTGTCGCAAACGGTGAAACAGCTTCATAGCACGCGCAGAGAAATATGTGGCTCTTGCTTCTCATACTAGCGTAGATGCGCCTTTTAACTGCAGCGGTCCTTGAGGGTTGGACGCATTCGGAGTTACCCACCGTAACCTTAACGAACAGTTTCTTTTGGGGTTCTCGCTTAGGTCCTCCAGTCGTCTTGATCAGCGAACCAACTTCTAAGTATCCGCACGGAAATATTGCTCTTCCACTTCTTACTTTAACCCAGAGATAGATAGACGCTTCATGGGCACTTCTAAACCAAAGCCGTGTTGGAGTAATGCGTGAAGTATTCCGACAGTTTTGTAGGCGCTTTAAGTTTCACGCCGACGACCGCTGCTGAACGCATTGTGTTTGACGCAATGCGTGAAGTATTTACGCAGTCTTGTAGGCGCTATGCGTTTCACGCTGACCGCAATGACCGCACTGTGTTTGATGCAATGCGCGAAGTATTCGTGCAGTCTTGTAGGCGCTAATATGTGTTACATGCCGACCGCTGCGCCGAGGGCTTCTCCTTTTCATCTCGAGTCCTCGTCATCATTTCTCTCTCAGTCGTGTCGTTCCTGGCCAAATTGCGTGTTTGGTCTCTCTCTTAACTCGACTAATTAAAGGTGCTGTCTCTTGTATCACCGAAAGACGACAAAATTAAAAATTACTGTATTCTCAGGAAACGAGAGATTTTGTTTGTAATTTTTTTCTAAATCCGTTTTTTTATACTCAAAAAGTCGGGTGGATCCATTCAAGAGATAAACATCTTCTTTATCGCGTGCTTGTAGTAAATTGACTTCTTCTGCATGCATGCATCTAGTTGGCTGCAAAAAAATCCAACGTCTAGCATGTTCGTATGTTTTCCTGCTAGAAGCCATACCAGTAAACTCATCCGAATTCCTTCCGAATCCTAAGTTGGTTGTAGTGAAGGGGCGGGGAAGGGGGGGGGGCACCGCCAGTAGGCCACCGTGTATCTTTGATAGGGTCTGAGTAGACCGAATATTGATGAATGGAGGCCATTATTTACTCGTGAATGAAGATGAACTGCACATACTCGCTGAAGTTGTTTACGTTGACTGTTCACTCGTATCTGCATGCGGTACGGTTACTTTAAGAACCGAGGGTAGATATCATTCAACATTGACGACAAATTCTCGCAGAGGGTGACGATACAGGATACACGCGTTGATTTCGAAAACCGCGCAAAGAAGAAATGGGACTGTCTCTAAGGGAAAGGACCTCAAAGCTTGGAGAAATGAATTTTCAGAGAGCGATTTTGAATTAAAGTCATTATTTGCGCCTGGACATGCGTAAAACTATTTTTTAATCTCAACTTTTCCAGCCCCCCAACATAGCAGTTTATGCCATTTTAAATCGCTTTCTTTAAAACCGCAATTTTTGAAGCCGCAGAAGTTCGCATCGTGGCATACCTTTGGGGTTTCTTAACATTTTTAATCGTTTCATGTGCCATTCATTTGATTTGTTTGCAACAAACTTCTTTTTATTTGGAAAAATCGAATGTATCATTAGAAAAAGAAAAAACTACTTCCTCTGCAATGCGTGCGGGAAATATCCGTTGCGTCAAGGAAAATATCCAGTTCCACTCATTACGTCAAGCCAAATTTTGGTCGTGACGACCGATTTTTGCCGCAATTGTACTAAGTCAACACAAATAGAAATGTTTTATCCCGAAAAGTACGAACTTCTCCTGCTTAAGGAGAAACTGCCCAAGCGATGTTTTTTCAATGGTTAAGAATCCGATTTTCCTTTGTTCAAGCAGTGATATGAATATGAGGACTTATATGTAACAATGGCTGCGGATGTGAAAAATTACTTTTTCGAAACTAGTTCAAAAAACTGTTTTGGCATCGAGAAAATTTTGAGAAAATACTTGAGATGTGATCTTCGAGATTTGTACATTATGTCAGAGCCGAGCATATTAGATTTTTGTGTGACCAAAACAGTTTTTTAGGCGTGTTTCGGAAAGATAATTTTTTTACATCCGCTATTGTTACATATAAGGCTTTATATAGGGATTTTTAATGTTTTTGGTCTTAAAGTACCTATTTCTTAAAAACCGTCACATTTGTTGCATACTTTCGTCGAAAGCTCCCGTAAGTACCCTTATCTGAGATATCGGTGTTTTGATGTCATCTGAAGCTTAGGTTCAAAGGAAGTTCGAAGGATGAGTTCGGTGTTTGAACTACACCGAGTGTTGGTTGGTGAGCGTGTGAATAATTGTGTGATCCGTCAATGATCAGATGTGCGGTTGAAACCTCTCAAAGCTTCCCAACAACTGTCTCCCTGTTCGAACTGCGCGATCCGGGCGTGCTTTCTCCCGAGTCTTGTTTGTATTCATAGCTTCCCTTCTTGCCGGCTCAACACATCAATCCCCTGGATCCCATTCCCAAGGCCCATCGCTCTCTCTATCTCCCTTCAAAGTTCTCGACTCCCTCGTCCTCATCCACCAACGCGTTTTCTCGTTGTTCGATATCTCTGTACGTAAAGCGCCGAAAAGCGTCCGGTAGGACTTTCCCTCGTTCGACATCGCACGTCGCACAGTGGATCGAGTCAATAGGGCAGGTCGGACAAAATCTGGAAACTTTAAATGCATATAACTCCGTTTATACAAATTTTTGAGGTTCTAAAAGTGGTTCCATTGGTTTCCTCGTAAAATTTTCTGCCAGAGGCACTCCTTGAAATTTAAAATGTGACGAAATAAACATTTTGCAGTCGTAGTCAAAAATTTTATGTCCGACCTCTCAGATTAACTCGATCCACTGTGCGTCGGCCAAATGGACTGAATTTTGCAATTTGGACCTATAAATTCTGGCTCATCTGAAAAAACACTTATGTGCATAGGGAAACTAATGGCACATACGTTGTTTTTAAACCGGGCCGGAATTTATAGTTCCTAATTGCAAAATGTGGTCCAAATATCATACTATTAAGGGTCCGGTCCGCCCGGTGGCCCGACTTTACTCTCACAGCAATGCAATTTCAGACGGACGATATCTAACGAAGGGAACTGAATTCACGCGGTCGCTTCAATTAAGTTTCACTTTTTCAAAGAAAAAAAATGCCAACCCACACTCGCCCTTCATTTCCTAGGGAATATTTTCGAATAAGCAAAGGAAATTTTTAGAAACGTTGCAATCTTAGGCTAAGATTCAGAGCGTGTATGTTCAAAGATTCGCCTTACTTTCCCAGGGTAGGCAGAACGAGCAGCAATCAGGGCCGGATTTAGGAGATGGCCACATGGGCCGCGGTCCACGGCGGCAAATTTAGGGGGCGACAAATTTTGCAATTTTTTTAAATATACTTAGTTATAAAGAAAAATCCGATTCAGAGAAAAATTACAAACGAAAAAAGGTGACAAAATCTCTCATTTCCCGAGAGTTTATCTCAAGTTTTGTCGTCTTCCTGTGATACAATAGATATCACCTTTACTTAGTTGAGTTAAGACAAAGAGAGAAACGGAACTCGGAATTTGGCCTGGAACGGCGCGGCGCAGAGAGCAATGATGACGAGAACTTGAGATGAACAGGAGAAACCCACGGCGCGGCGGTCAGCATGTAGCACATATTAGCGCCTACAAGACTGCATGAATACTTCACGCCTTGCGTCAAAGATAGTGCGGTCGCTGCGATCAGCAGCGGGCGGCGTGAGACGCATAGCGCCTACAAGACTGCATGAATACTTCACGCATTACGTCAAACTTAGTGCGTGCAGCTGCAGCACAGTCGCAGCGCTCAGTCGCACGCAATAAATTAGCTCGGCAATTCAACGGGTGTCTACTCCCAACCTTATTCTATTTTCTGCACAAGATTGGGATTGCTGGGATGATGAAAACGTTGTATTTCAATCTTCGCGCGGTCTTCCAAATGAAGAGAACTTGAGACAAAGAGGATTCCTATCAGATAAATGATTTTGAAAGACGGGTATCTTTACAATTACATATGACTCGATAGTTGTCCTCTTTGTTGATACTCTATGTCGTATCACGATTAACCGGTAGTGTAATTTATTCTGCTGCTGTTCAGTCTTACTTAGTCGTTAAGGATCATATTCAATCTGTGCCAAAAAAAAACTGAAAATACATAGGTGAAAACACGGTGAAGTGTCTACTACCTTTTCTCAAGGAGACGGAAGAAAATCTTTAATTGTCGATTGAAGTCATGGAGGCACACAATTTTCATCGAACTGGGTGAGTATCTGAAAAACTCATCGTAAATTCATTTTTAAAATAAATTATGACTAGTACAATTTATGACACGAGGACATGAAGAGGTTAAGATTTCGAGGAAATTGTTTTAGGCTGAAAATTGACATGGGACCCTGTGGTTGGTCTAATAATCGATTCTTTACCATGACTTCAGATGGGAAAATATCGATAATCGATCATTCACGTCTCGCCGCTTCCACCCCCCCCCCCCCGTCCCGTTGGTGGGTCCCTTAAAAGGCACGCCACAAGTGCCTTTTTCCACCTCATTTTTCGGGCCTTTTTTAGGTCTTGATCGCGTCCAATTATCCCCCTGCCCACGACCTATTTTCTCATCTTTCGATTTTCGCTGTCCCAGTCCCACAATCGTATGAGCTTTTCCGGTCATTCAAGACTTTTGACACCGCAGAAGACAAGCACTACCGTGAAAAGAAGAGCGTCGTGTAAACATGCGTACGTTGCCGTATTCCCTCTGATAACTCCTGTTATTTTTGAGATGTAATTTTCAAACGTCGCATGGCGCTTTTGATACTTTGGCCGGAAGGTGACGATATGAAGACCTGCCAAAGATTTGTCTTACGACTCCTCTTTGAGGATCACGCTTCTCCAAGAAATTCGTATTTTTTTCGAGGAAATTTGACTAAGTTTACACGCTCACACGTTGTTTTTCCATGGGATGTGTGTCGAGCCGGTTGGAAATCATTTCAAGCATTTCAGCTCGTATTGTGAGGTAGTCGAACGAGCGGAGCGATAATCGAGCGCCACCGCACCGGTTCGGTCGCCAGCTCATATTTCCCATTGCACATACCCGACACCGTTTCGTTGGCCAATTCAATTCTAATAATTGTGGTCCGTCATCGATTGTTTTCCCTCTCCTCGCCGCGCCACACTTCTGTCGCCCCCCCCCACCCCGCTCTCAGCTGTCCCTTCCGGTTCCTTGCCCATTCTCCAGTGGCAAAGCGTGAATGATCGATTATCGATATTTCCCCATTTGATACTGTGGTGAAGAATCGATTATTAAGGTATTCGTTGCGAACACCCTGTCTATCGACTCTTTTCAATAGGTGTAAATAACAGATCAATCGATGTCTCGCGAAGCGTGTCACGAATCTGTATCAGACCTAGCCGAGCCGCCAGATTGGCCAGCAAAGTCAAGATGGGCTTCTCAGGCGTAAAGTAGACAGCTTTCGAACGGAGAACGTAGCCACTTTTTTTTTTTTTTTTTTTTTTTTTTTTTTTTTTTTTTTTTTTTTTCAATAAACTTTTTAGAAGTATTTTACAAATTGAAAGCGGACCAACAGTCATCACGCTTCAGCAAGAAGAATGTGTCACACCTTTTTTTCCAAAGAACGGCAATATGACATTCTTTAGCACAAACGAATTTGATAAATTTTAGTACGAACTGGATGTCTGCCAATAGGGAAGCGCCACTTCCTCATGATCTCCCCAGGCTTAACCGTAGTAGTACTTGGGAAGATCGGTCTTATGAAGACCCTTTAGAATCCTAAAAAAATGGCGGCGACTCTAGGTATAGAAGTAAGGGGAGCGGGTGAAAGGGGGTCCTTGCCAACTTTCCCGCTGCATCTGTCACCAACTTTGTCATGTCCTAAAGTGAAAGAGGAGGTTGGATTTTTTTTTTTTTTTTTTTTTTTTTTTTTTTTTTCAAAATATGATGCACTAAATTATATATTTTCAAAATTGAGTATATTCACCTAATTGTGTGATTTGCAAGCGAAGACCTCATTTTATGCACATTTGAATCATCTGCATGTATTCAATGTCCATTTTTCTGTAGGGGGGAGGGGAAGGCCTAGAGCTCCATGAAGCCTAAGATGATGAAACATCAGAGAAAGAATCGTCGTTTTTCAGACCAAATAACGTAGCTGATTTTCAATGTTACGGAATTTTTCCTTGCAAATTAAATTCTTCGAAGAAATAACTGTTGAGATTTTGTTTTCGAAAATTTTCTGATTTTTCTTCTGATTAGACGCACAAATCAGAAAAATTTTGACCGAACTTACGAAGTAGTACTCATATAGAAAAATTAAATTGTTAAAGTTAATTTTGCACCATTGGAATGGAGTTACACTATTTCATCTGAGAGACGACAATGTGTGAAAATTGCGATGGCACCCTTCAACATCGCTGGCGACTGAATGGCTGCTCATTCTCGCAGGTGACTCAAGACGAGATAAGCAGTGGCGTGGCGTGCTTTGCGATAAATCGATTGATTTGCCATTGAAACCTATGGGAAAGGATCGATAGACAGGGTGTTCGCAGCGGACACCTTAATAATTGATTCTTTACCATAGCCTCTAATGGAGAAATATCGATAATCGATCATTCACGCCTCGCCACTGGAGATAAGATTAGCCTAACAGACACTTCTGCAATACTATGGGAAACTGCACTTCATCGTGAGCTGCGTTAAGTACCAAGCCTCGTGAGCTTCAGTACTTACACGAAAATAAACTTACCTCTTTCTCCCACGACAGCGGGCCGATTATTGAAATTGATAGACAAAGCTATGGACAAAAAAGACATAGAGAGTATGGAGCGATCCTATTGGTTGAAACGGGTGCTTCTTATAGACATAGGGGGGAAATGATGGACTAACTGTCGGGTCTCTCGTCGGTTGCCGTTAGTTAGTCTATTACTTACCTCCTTCATCGAATTCAACCACCCATTTGAACCAGTACACTGGAAAAAAAAAACACATTGGATCTAGAGTCCAGACTCTTGAAAACATTGACAAAAAAAGGACTCTTGTTCCAATCAGATTTAAGCTTATATCAAAAGGAAATCCGCTCAAATTAAGAGGCTTGGTTCTTGATTTTAGAGCTTAAATCTGATTGAATCCAGAGTATTTTTTCTTGTCGATGTTTTTAAGAGTCTGGACTCCAGATCCAATGTGGTTTTTTTCCAGTGTAGGAGAGCTTCATCTTTCCTGTGCCTCCTATGTGTATAATTTTGTCTACTAATTTCAAAAATCAGCCCGCAGGGCAGACACGGCCGTGGGCTTCAGAAATTAAGCGCGCTACATCGCTTATTATTAGTACTGCGATTCAGCACCTGATTTTGCAGCCTCTTAGCTTTAATCCTCTGCATTTCGACAGTGTTTGAGTGATGAACTGTCAATGCTCTGCTGTGAAAGGCATTCAAGAAGCTCTTGATTCGTTGGGAGTCGTTGCCTCCAGATAAGTCGTGTTTTTCTCTTATCCCGCGTAGGTTCCTCTATCACTTTGTCGGTCACTCTACTTATTTTTAGCCAATGATTCACCTCTCCCTCAGATATTTGCACACATAGCTCCATTGTAAATACTTCGAGTGAGTAGTTCTGCAAGCTCTTGTAAAAGGAAGTAATACCACCGGAGAAAGAAGGACTTTCCACCCAGCCTCATAGCTCCGACGATTGAAATACTTACCATTTCAGACTCCCACAAAAAAAAGAAGAAAAAATAGAGCTAGTAAAGATGACAGTTGAAAGCAACATCTCCATATCCTCAGACAATCTTTTGTGGAGAAGATGAAAATTAGATAATTTTAAATCAGCGTCTAATATAATACCCAAATCTTCTCTTTGACGTTACTTTAGACGCCTTCCACACGTATTATTCGTTGAATTTGTCGAGAGTAATTTTCGATGAGACACAGGTAAAATAAACCACAAAGGTTAACGGCACTGTAAGGCACTCGGTTGAGTTACTGTGGCGCACAGCGTTTCATATTAGTGGGCTTCATTTTTCGCCTTCAATTTTACAACTCAGCAACAAGTTCCACACGCGCAGCGCAGTCCCGTCTCGTCCCAGTCCGCGCAAGCGTTCATTACGAATAACTTACCTGCCATTTTGTTCTTTATTCTTACCCAATGTCATTATGTATATTTTCTAAATTATATAAAAATACATTTTCACAAAAATAAAAAGTAAAATTATAATGCAGCAATATACCAATGATAAGTCTACTTATTGAACGTATGTGTGTTGTTATCGTTAGTTGGTCCATGACTTTACCTCTTTTGTCCAATGGACCAACCGCTTCAACCAATAAGATCGCTCCATTTTCTCGTGGTCTTCTTTGTCTATCATTTTATCCATCAATTTAAATAACCAGCCCGAGTTTGGATATATTTCGTAACTCAATGGACCTTCATTTTATTATTATTTGAAAAGTCGACTTTGTAGATTAGATATATGGATTCTAAAAGCCGTATCGAAGTCCTCGCAAGGAGTTTCTGCTCCAATTTTGACCTTAATAAGGAAATGTACAAACATAGGGTGATCCACTGATGTGCAATTAACTCATCTAAAATGTGTTCAATCATTAAAGTAAAAACAGTCTTTCAAAATTCCCAACACGTTTTTGTTGCGGCGAGAATTGGTCGATATTTTCAGCAACGTCAGCTCACCTTTTGACATTTTTATCTCGACGTTAGGTACAGGTCAATTTTTCTTCATTTATATGGTCATGCCATCAACTTTGCCTTTTATTTTTCTATCACTGTTTGAATTGAGCTTTTGAACCTGTTTACGCGTCTATGACTTAGATTCAGTACTGTGACTCGCAAATTTTAATGGAGACTGCTTTTTTATTCTGTTGCAGGTGAGTTTTCCCGATGAAAATCCCTGAAGGTATACTTAGCTGAATCGATGGGATTCAATCTTGACCTAGTGTGGTGAGTGCAGTGATTCTAAGATTATCTATATCATCAAAAATCGCGCAGTAAATTTAGGAAGCATTACCTACACCATGGAACTAATTTTTCACGTAAAAAATCCAAGTAATTTGAGTGAGGAGTGAGATATACTCGTTAAAAGCGAAGTTAACTCTGCAAAAGAGTTGATTTCGCTCTGACACTTTCAAATCGGGACGTTTGTTTCGGAGCACCATTGGCTCCGGAGTGAAAAGCCCTCCGAATTTTATTCTAAGGGTTTTATAAAGGTAACACAATGTTGATAGATTGATAAGAAGGTACCTGTGATGAA